AATTAATACATGCAATGATAGGAGCAGTATTGCAGAATTCCTTATTTCTTAAAAAAGAGTAGCTGACAGTCTTGAATGAGTAGAAAGAAAAACACTTTTTGGTGAAGCGGAGGATTTGTTGCGCACTGTATTCACTTATTTGGTTCATTCTTATTTATTATATGACAAACTTTGGAAAAAGTATGTCCCTTTAAATTGTGTCTCGTATCTGCTATTGCTTTCTTAATGCTTATCAACTTAAATTTATGCTACGCATGTACGAGATTATGAGATTTTCCGACTGTTGAAAACTTACAAGGTTAAATTATTTCTAATGTACTGCAATATCAGCAAATAAAAAAATAGCTTATAAGTAACTATGCATAACATTTTAAATTTTATTAATACATTTAACTGGCACTCCGACATTTTATTTTTTAATGTTATTGGAGAGATATTTAATTATGTTAATTAGTTTATATTTTATCTTTTTAGTGAAATAATATCTCGTTTATTTTCAACACATCGAAATTTTGTGTAAAGACGAAGTCGTACCATTTTCGCCTAGGATCTCAAGAAATGTTGAGGAATAAGGAACTTTCATTATGAAAGCGCACGTGGAGAGTCTGTGTAAGAGTGAGAGGCATCAATACAAAAAGTCGAGCATCGGAATTTCGTTTCGAAGTAGTGTGGGTTCCGATAGCACCCGATAGATGGCAGGCGCGTCCAGCACCTCTGCGGGGGGAGCGCGCGCTACTGTCCGGACGCGAGGACTCGCAGGCCGCAGCCGAACTCCCTGCAAATGAAAGAACCCGCGAACAAACACCTCACAAGTTTCTATGTTTAATTATTACAAAACAAGCTTCTTCTCTTATTACCAGAAATTATTAAAAACATTTTAAAATGGAATTTCTTACTTTACAAGATAGTATTAATGGCAATGCTTCCTTTTAATGTTAATATTTCCTAATTCTGTGACCATTTGCCTCAGAATATTAGAAATTTCGGAATAATTAGGTGCGTAGGTTTAATCCGTATTTTCGTTTCTCTTTTTTTATGAAAACCGTTTTTATACATCGTTTACTAGTTTCTTTTCTTTACAAACAATGAACGATTTGGTGTTGGTTTTTAAATATAAGGAATAATTTGTTTAATAACATAAAAACAAATGGCAAATAACGAGTGTTCTCTGTTGGTTGCTTTTTATTAAAACGCTCGTGAGTTCGTTAACAAAAGTTACTGTTATTACATGATTAAGTACAATGTTCATTCATACATTAGGTTTATAAGTTAATTGCTGGATCTTCTCTTTTGTCATTAAATTATTTCATTCCTTATTTTTATTGTTTTATTCCAGAACAAAAATTTTACAAATTTCTCTTTTCAATACTCCAAACTGTTGTAATGATGATCACGAATTAAAAATGTTGCTATTAATTTATTTTAATTTTTAATTTAACTATAATACAATATATAATTCTGTATTGAGATTTTCTGTACAATATAAAATGAATATGTTCATAATATACAAATATTTATAATCTTTTAAATACATTTTTCTGGTTTGTTTTCACAGGAATGCTAACATTAAAAATTCTCTTAATTTTAATGTTAAATTAATATTTCGTATATGTACGAAACGACACTTCTATATCTCTTTGTCTTTCTTCTCATTCATTGAATACGAATAAATGCAAACATACTGACACGATATTTCTGATAAGATCGGTTTAATGTGTACTGAGAAAAAAAAGATGGAAGAAAACAGGTTTGGGGAAGATATGGAAAAGTTCGAGCTAGCACATAACGAATTGAAGCAAAGGTATTTTAAGTGTCTCATGCTAATAGTAAACAATAATAACAATAGTTCGACAGAATCAACGTTTTGTAATTCCTAACACAGCGATTAGAAATTTATTTTCCATTTACCATTACGATACTACTTCATCAAATCTCCGTTTCTCTTAAATTGTTAGTTGTTTCTCCTGAACCCTTGTTCATAAATGAATGTCTTGAATATCCGAAACTGGCTATACCATCGAAGTAAAAATACGTCCATTTAATTTCTAGTTGTTTTTGCCTTCGTAAGGATTGACGAGGAAGTATGAGCCAGTCATTTTGTGGCGTGCAAAGCGCGTGTTCCGCGCGGTTAAAAGAGCCCGCGCGAACCAACGGCGCCGCCCGCGAGCGCGACCGCGTCCCGGGCTGCGCGCCGCCGCCCGCCGGAGCTCAAGGTGCCCGCCAAGGGAGGCTACGCGCTACTCCAAGCGCTTGGAGCTTTTCCCACACTTTCTCGTCCGTAAGGTTGGCGGCATTGATTCAGGCTGGGCGGTATGTTGGCACCGTACTTTCTATATTGCTTTCTTGCACATAGTAAAAACAGAGTACGTCGATGCCGTGCAGAATCAGCATATATAAAATATATACCTCAATTCCATTGCGCCGGGCGGGCCGGCGGCGGCGTCCGCGCAGGGCCCGGGTAATGGGAGGCCGGCCCCAGCACTAAAGGCAAAGCCCTGTGGATTTCATAAGGTTTATAAAGAGAACGGATGTGCCACAAATTTGTAACATTTTCTATTTTAGCCGTTGCTCATTAACTTTCTTTTCTTGTCTCCTGCCTCCGTGCACCCCACGCTCGTGCGTGGTCTTCGCTCCGTCCGCCGTCTCCCAACCGCCCTCGCCGCCGCCGCCGCCGCCGCCGCCTCCACCTCCCCCGCCCCGCCCCGCGTGCGCTTCGCCACGCCGCCTGCCCCGCCCTCTCAACCCCGCCCCATCGTCCCGCCTCCCCGCCACAGCGCCTTCCCCGTTCTGCCGCCGCCACGCCCCTCTTCGCGCCGCGCCCGCACCCCTGCACGTTATCCGTCATTATTGTTCTTTACCTCTATCTCCCAGCCGCGCAGGCGCCCCGCGCGCCGCGCGAACTTTTTTCACTCCGTCCTTTTCTGCTTTCATTTCCATATCATTTTTCATGTCAGGCTTCTTGTTTCTTATTTTATGAACATTATTCTACATTTCACTGGAACTAAGCGCTATTTCCTCTGTACAAAGTGTTCCCTTCTTCTTCCTCCGCCTCCAATACTTTTTCAACACATTTTTCTTTATGACTGATTTATTTTTTATTATTTTTCTTTACGCAGTAATTTTGTTTATAAGTTGTTTTTTTTTAATTTTACTACGATTGCTAATTTTACTACGATAACTTGATTGCCTAAATTGTTATTTTTCTTGCATTTATCTTAGAGCCTACTAATTGCGCTTTTTAATCGAGTCTGAGCAAAATAATGTTGTTTTTTTGTAAGAAGCGTCGAGTGAGTCGATTTGTGCAGGGAGCGCGAAGCGACGGTGAGGGTGGCGGAAGTGGCGCTAGAAGCAGCTAGCAACTTCGCGCGCTTGCCACGGGGGTCGCTGCCGCCGCGGTTCCCGCGACGCTTCGCGACGTCCGCGCCGCCGCCCCGCCCCTCTCCTCTCGCCCCTCCAGACCTCTTCGCATCGGACTGGGCCGCTCATAGTAGCGCCTGATGCTCCTCACCCCCAATTGATCGCCCCGAAAAGCAGTCTTCTTCGCTTCTGAGAAGGCGGTCGGGAAATGTTTTCTTCTTGTCTCCCAGTCTTATCATTACGTGATGGAAGTGGCCAACTCAAGAAATTGGCACATTTTTAGAAGCACAAATAGAAATGAATTTGGGTCTCATTAACTGAATTATTAATTCAAGGAGATCTAAGAATGATTAACTCATTTCTTCAGCATTGCAAGGCAAAAGAAAATACATACTTGCAATTTGACGTTCTTTGGGATATTAGTCACGTACGTAATCAGGAAAATCTCGATGTTGAATACATTCTTAAAAAGGAAGAATTGTTAAAAATCATACTACAAATTCTGTCGACATTAGAGAAAATGGTTGCAATTATCAGAATAATAGATATTGAAACATTCTTGCGCATTAAAATGACAGTACTTTTTCCAAGAATTTAGCAATAAACATTAATAAATAAAATTGATGTAGTGCTTTTTTTCTTCGGGTTGAAGTATAGACATTAATTCGTCTCAGAAATGCTCATCAAAGCATAATGGAGTTTGTTGTTCAGGACGTCTTTTGCGTTTAGGTTGCTGTACCTTTATTTGCGTACCCCCATGCCCATTTACTTCTCCAATAATGAAAGAACTTCTCTTATTTTCAGTGTTATTTATATTTTCCTTTCTCTTCTTTGTACTCGTCTTCATCCTTGTCACATTTAATTGGATTTTTATGGTAATGAAATTCTACTTAACTGCACTCCACCTCTTCACTGACAGAACAGGAAAAGCAGTTTGAGTAGACATCAGGGAAATAAATTACTACGTACCCGTATTTTAAAAAAATATTAATACTCCTTACAAAAGGGACTTTCTTATCGGTTTTACAACTGAATTATTATACCTCCTATGAGAAAGTAGAACGTATCACAAAGTCGAAGAAAAATATCCGAATTCTTAAATAAGTAAATGTAGAGTGAAATATATTTTAAAACTTCATTTAAAAGCAAAAGATTTCAAATTATGAATCTGTAACCCTTTCCAAGAAACTCTAATTTGTTTTTTTACTTTTCAATTAAATCATTACTAACATTTTTCGTCATGTATTTCTGTTTTCTTCATGAGTCTTGGCCGCTTAAAAATGAAACAGGAGAACACTGTATTGCAGACAAGATAAGAATATAATATTGTTCTCGCGGAATTTTATTAATTCCTACATTTTTTCGGATACATTTCTTATAAAATTGATTCCATACTTCCTCTATTGTACAAATAGAAATCATGAAGGTTCGATTGCAAAATAAAATGTATCAATATTTTTTTAAATAAAAATCATATCATTATAATTCTACAATTAGAATAATTTACTGCCAAAAAGTCAATTCCTATGCTAATTTTATATTTTAGTTATTTAAGTATTTCCTTTTTACAGATATTGTTAATATTTAAAATACAATTTTGTCTAAACCGTTATATATTGAACAACGGTACTCTCTAATTCAATATGTTTTGTGATCCAAGGTATCCTTTTTCCTTTTGCCGAAAAGGCAAATTGATATTCCCAATGTTTTTGTATTTTTATGCAAACTTGTCCAGAAGAATAGACAATAGTTAAAGATAATTTTGCAGTTTTTTATTAATCTAATATGTGCTATACGATAAATATTAAAATTCAAGAGAGGTGTGAATTTACAAAAAATTGTTTTAACGAACAGTCAGTAGTAATATTATTATTATTATTATTATTAGTAGTAGTAGTAGTAGTAGTAGTAGTAGTAATAGCAGTAGTAATTATTTCTGATAATATTACTTTGGCATGAATTAGTAGTTATATTAAGCGAGAGAATGGAAACGTTCCAAATAAGTTTTTGATACAATCATTAGCAATGCCGCCGTAGTTTTCTTTACACAATAAGAAAAAACACAATTACAAGTGTACAGGTAGAATTGATAAAGTAATGTTTAAAGGTAAACATTGACCTTTAAATATTGGGTCGAGAGAAATTGAAAAAAATTATAATGCATATTAACATTTTTGGAAATTAAATGAATTTTCCGTATATAATGTATTAAATTTTGCGAGGTGAAATAAAATATGTGCAGACGGTATTGTGAGGAGCGATATTAAAAAGTATATCAAAAATAACAAATAAAGTTTTATTTCAAATAAATAACAAGTAATAATGTATAAGATGCCAGTATTTCAAATATTATCATATTTACTTTCTATTTCATTCTTTAAAAGAGTCTGGTTTGAGTTCAGACTTCTTCTCTGCATTATAAATATTCCATTCACTGTTCTGTTGCAACCTCCAGTTGGCTTAGGGTTGTCATGTCGACTGGCATTCATGCGTGTCAACCAGGCGTACTTAATTTGCTATCGCACCTCTTTTCATTCATGCACGTTGGTTTAGTTAAATCAATCAAAACGTTTATATAGGTCAACAACGTTGAACCTGTTGATACTCTTTATCTTCGAACGTGAGCTTCAATTTAATTCTGCTGGGTATTTTTCTAAAACACAGAAATTACATCAATGGAAAATATCTCCGTGAACAAAATTACAGAAGCAAAATTACAGAGACAAAATTACAGATTTTTTCTAAGTTGGATAGTTTCTATTCAAACAGAAACGATAGACTCCATTTGTATCTCTATATTATAATTAAATACTTCACATTAATGCATTTTATTTAATATATTCTCAAATTTTCAAAACAGACACTTTTTGAACACAACAAAACAGACACAACGCTGAACATCTTTGAAACACAAACAAACCGTCTTGCCATCGTAATATTTCATCAAAATCCAATGTTCGACTGGTGTACCATATAGCTGTAATTAAAGTACATTTACACACTTAAAAGTGATTGTTGAATTGCGTGAGTTATGACTGAAAAAATGTGAAAATTAGAATTTCTCGCATACGAATATTCTTTTATTTTTATAACCTATTTTTCTCATTAAATTACTCATACTGTAAGAAAAGGATATACAATGATAATAAAGTGAAAAATATAAGTTTTTTGTACATTTTCCGTGCATGGTCGTGAGGAAATGCTTATACTTTTCGTTGCTTGCTTTGAAAAGAGGAATTAATTTCCGCCAGTACATTGCTCTGATGTTTAAATGAAAAATATGGAGAAATGGAGTAGACTGTCGATTCGCGTAGATATTTTGTTTATAAGTAACTGTACTCTACAAAATTTAAGTTACGAATTTTGCGGTTTATTTTTTGAGTGGCTAGTTTTCTATGTGGTACGTGCTCCTCGCATCAAACTGACTCCTTTTTAACAAAAGTACACAAGCGAACAATTGTATTTAGTGTCAATATTTAATAATATCCCTCAAAAAGTGATATTAGAAATCGTAATATTTAAGTTATAGTTGCCTCATGACAAAAGCTTGAAAATTTAATTTTATTCTATAAAACATTATATTAACGAAATAGATGTTTCGATTCCTGAAAACAGTTACGTAAAGTAGCTTCAAAGTACCCATGACCATAGATCATCTTCAAGTTATTGTTATTCTCTTTTTATATTATAATTATGATTCTATCCTTCATGCTATGTAAAAACCTCAGATGGAAGTACATTGAAATAAAATGTGTGACCTACAAAGAGTGCACCTACAAACGTATTGTTTTAGTGTTTATTTGAACCATTTTTGTATGGTACGTACAATAATTGAGTAATAAATGTGTTATTATAAATAATAATATTATTACATTATTGTTATAATTATAATAGTAATAATAATAATAATAATAATAATCATCATCATCATCATCATCATCCTCAATCACCATTTTCTTGTTAGTATTCAAACATTTTTGTCTTTTGCTACCATTCACCATTTTTCAGCAAATAATTTATTTTATACCGTTTTCTGTAGCCTCAAAAAATGTAAGGATATGCTGTGAAAAGTGCCAATAAGAGAGCAGGAGCCATAATATTTATTAAATACAAGTATGTAGTACAACCTGGTTAGTTGTAGTCAGGAAAAGAAAAAAACTTTGCCTCTGGACCTCGACTTTCAATAACCTAGGAGTGGGGGATTACGGCTAGAGGAGTATCTTCTGAGTTATTTTCGTTGCACTGCGGGGAATAAAAGAGTATGAGGGAAATTACCACTGAGAAATTTGTTTCAGCTCATCTATTGTATTTTGTCGAACCTGATATCGCGTCTGTGAGTCCCTTTTGGCTAAGTCGCAGTACATGATGCAACGGGTATTCCAGAACAGAATAAAACAAGCGTGATTACAAAGAAAATACAGATGATTGTTCTAGCAATGCGTGATGCTCGATGTAGAATCAGTTGTAGAGGTAATGGTGTCTGGAGAAGGAACTGTAAATATTATTACTAAAAAATGTGAACAAAGCAATCACAAAATATTATTTTAATGACTATGAAGATGACTAAATGAAGATGTGTAATTATTTAATTCGCGGTGTTTGTTTATTTTACTAAACTTCTGAAATGATCAAATAAATCACCATGAAGAAACTATGAATATCTAGTATAGTGAACCGAAAAATGTTGGTCCCCAGATGTTCACTACGACAGGAGTTAAATTTATTGACTTAAATTTACAGTATATGAATCAATCAGTAATAGCCTAACAAACGAAAGTAAAGGGAGATGGGCTTATGTAAGTACGCACGTATAGTTGGCGTGTCTATAAGCATTTGATAATAAATCGGAATAAATGCGGTTGTCTTCTATTATTTTTGTCGTTACCTCACATAAAATGGGCTGTGCAAAATTAATAAAATAAGGAATACCATATGTTGGAAACTTGTTATTAAATTTATGTATTGCTAAACTTAACAAAAGTGACTTAACGTTTTCCTTTGCAAAATAACAATTTATTCCCGCCAGTAATAAAAATGGAACTTTAAACACGAAAGCTATACGTATATATACTACGTATTTCCATAGTAAGCACTCTTCACCAATAATTTCGTTAACATAAAAAGGTACGTACTTACGTGATGGCACATACATTTTCTTGAATTTCTAGAGTTGCCCTCAATACTCAGTTTATATGTATTCCAAACTATAAAGTGTATGATTTATAAACTACGATTTACCAAATAGTAAATCGTAGTTTATACTCGTAAATCATACACTTTCGACATTCGAATGCAGAAGTAAAATCTCTGAAACGTCTCTCCCATTTTAATCATTTCTCAATTTACAGACGTTTTGAAAACATTTTTAACGTGTTTTAATTTTTCAGACAACAATTTTGATTCTACTGCTTGTTCTCTTTTTTTAAAGTATCAAAACTTTCTCATAATCTTTACAGGATAATGAAACTCTACATAAATACCATATTAAATAAATAATTACCAATACATTTTTGTGGTTTTAAAGTGGTGTCTCAAAAATATATAATAGGCAGGTACAAAAAATTGTTCAGTTAGTTTTATTCATTCAATGTAATTGTTTTCGTTCCGTTTATGCTCACTTTATTTCATTAATCACCGCCATATGACACCTGTAGGGGATGGTATCACACAATGCATATTTTCTATTTGTGCACTTGTCTTGCTCTGTCTCGATACGCACGATGTCATTCGGGAATTATTATTCATATAGTATTAATTCTTTTTTTTATGACTTTCAGGTTTCAAGACGACTCAAGAAATAGATCAGTCATTTTCTGCAAATTTAGAAAGGTAAAAAGTTATTATATTCACTATATTATATTCACTATATTATATTCACTATCGACGAATACTGTTATTTTTTTGAAAATAATTGAACATATGGGAAGACCTGTCCCACAACAAGCAGGCTGAAGATGCAATTGAACTTGCACATTTTTTAGAAAAATCTTTGGACTTCCAAAATAGTCTTTGAGGTCCGTTTCTATTTTTCCAAATAGCAAAGCGCTTTGCATGAAATTTATATAATTTAACAATTTTGCTCTTGGATTAATATTTTTTTTCATTTCATCCAAATGTCTTCAAAGTGTCTTGTTGATTGACTGATTAGTGATTCCGGGAACGTCAACGGGAAAGATCATTAGTCACATAAGTGTAGTGCATTTTTATCACGGGACGTGGCGGTTATTTTCCTCCTCTCGTTGGAGAGATTCGGCGCCGACCTATATCGTCTTTGGGGATTTTCCCCAACCACTAGCAGCGTGACACCGCCCCAGACGGGACAATCTCTACGCTCCCGACTGGCCTCCAGACAAGTGAGTTAATATAGTTCAAGTAAGTATAAGTAATGGGTGAGATTGCACAAGGAAGAGGGAGGAAACATCGCGCGAAGTCCTTGGCTTATTTTTTTAGGGTACTGCTTAGGCATTCGCCTGGTGTAGTTCGGTGAAACTACGGAAAACTACCGATCAGAACAGGCGGCAAGAATTTTTCTCTAGACAGCGAATTAATTCGACGTAGCTATCGAGATTGTGTCGAAAATCCTGCCACCGTGGAACTCGAAGCCTGGAACCTCCCGGTCAGAGGCACCGCAGTAACATCCCTCAGCAACATCAGCAGTCCGAAATGTTTGGCATTTGCTGCGGCGTACACCCATGGTAAACATAGAACTTTTGCCAGCACCGTTACGAATACCATATTTACACTTCATTTGACATGGCGAAAATACTTAAGTGGTTCCGTTTCTGTAAACATATTTGGTTAAATGTTACGAAAAGTACGTATTAAAAAAGTGGAAGATAGTATGTTGTAGTCAGTTGTCTATTTACGATATATGATAGAGTGACAGAAAAAAGAGATGTACATTTGTAAAGGGTTTCAAAAACTTCACACACTAAGATTTATCTAAATGTAAAATAAAGGTAATAGTGAAATAAATATATTTCTAAGTTTCACTCTGAATTGACATCCCATTCAAGTCATGACGAGACCACCTCTGGTATCGTGCCTCTAAGCAACTTCACTCACAGGACAGTAATATTGAGAAATTTTTATCCACCTGAAATTATCCAAAATATTTAATATTATTTAAAGTGTTTAACAGTATTTAAGTATTAAGTATTTAACATAATGTGAATAATTTACGTAATATACGAAACAAAAGGGCACAATGTAAGAGACCACCATACACTTCACCCCCTACTTCACTCTGGTCAGCAGGGTCAACAAAATACAGGAAAATTCATTGTACGATGCTGCAAATACTCAAATTTATTTTGTTACGCAAAAAAATAAAATAGATGTGCAGAACTAAAACGCTCATTTTATAATTTTATTTACAAGCTCACCTATCGCAATAATAGGAAGACTCAATCGGATTGGTCTTAATAACTTATTAATTTTAACGACGATTGTTCTCTCGACAATTAATGAGGCAACAAACGGTTTAGTGTCATTTACGCATGTACAGTTCTTGCAAGGAGTTTTGACATGCGGATTTTTCTCTTACTGTGAAATGCTATAGTGTTATAATGATTATTACTGTACTCGCGATGTTTTATTAACACTACAAGTAGTGAATACACTCAGAACAGATAATGGTGGTTTTGATTTTGTGTCCGAAAATATAGTGTGTCCTTTATTACCAAAGCACTTCATTCGAGAAGTACTTTTGCAATGTTAAACGCAAAAGTGGCATCTAGATTACCGTATTTTTTGTCCTTTTCAGCATTAGAAGTTCTCGGTACTGCTGCACATTATTACTTTTTGTCAGAAGCTGTTAGCTTTCTTTTCTTCAATAAATTCACTCAAAATCTGAATTTCTCGTGTTGGAAATAACAACTGCGTATCATCTGAGTGGGTGTGAATTTTTACTACTTATGGAATAAGGATATATTTATGAATTATATGTTTTAATTCTTAAGTATATATCTTGTTCTAAAGTATGTCTTTTAGAATTTAATGTATTTTATTTCTAAAGGATATATTTGAGAGTCAACATCTGTTCTGGAACACATTAATACGAATTCAACATCATATTTTAAAATCATTGAGATTTTTGTTCAATTAATTTTGTGTGCATAATAGTACGAATATTACCAAACGTAGTGAGGTGTACGTACGTATTGACGAGATTTCACAATCAAAAATAATTACAGGTATGTCAAATCAATCGAACATTATTATTGAAGAACTGCAGTTTATTTCCGTAAACTGCAAACAACAAAAAAAATATTGAACAAATGCGCCCAAATATTTACGTAAACACGTGGTATCCGAAGATGTCAAAAGGTTCACAAAACCGCCAATTATTTGCAAAGTACCTATATAATCGAAGATTCAGCTCCAAGTTATCGGTTTCCACTCACAGACAGTATAAACCCCACACAAAATGATAGTGTGTACATTATATAAAAAGTAATCTACATGGGCAAGTATACCGTGTGAATAATGTTGTCTATAAAAATTCAAAAAAAATATAATGATTGGAATTCGTTCCAATTAGTCGTTCTATTCTATCCAATTTTTTAAAACCTGTAATTAATTTAGATACTGAATATTTCAAGACCACAAAATGCCCATTATTAAAGGTGAGCAAAATCCACCGGATTTGAAATTTTTCCCCTATCTATTTTTTATAACTTTCCTAAACGGAAGGAGATGTGAAATAAGGGTATCTAAAACAATGATGTAATGTGCAGAAAAATTCTGACTGAAGAAACTGTTTATTTTTGGTCATGAAATGTTGGAAAACAATCTCTCTACCACATGCATGGCACAACGCTATAATACCTCCAAATAAAAAAAAACAATTAGAAGAAATTATGAAAATTATAGGTTGATATTGAGAGAAGTCTTGATGTTTTGAACAATGAATGGAATTCATGAATTTGGAACTAAAATTTGCTCATATGGCATGGGTGATTTTCTGTAGGTAGAGAAACTTTTTCTCTTGGACCTTTCAGAAGTGAAAATGATATTAATGGTTTCAAATGATATATTTATAAGGGTAGTAATTAATATAATGTTTGTATAAAATATAACATTTTTGCCTTCATGTATCATAGAAACGTTTGGTTGAATTTGCAATGTTCACTTGACGCGTACAAACGATGAAACGATTACCTGTTTTGTCCTTTGACTCAACTGCTCGCTACGAACCTCGGCCGACCAGCGGTTATTTCGCGGTTTCATTTTTTCACATCAATTATATTCCTTCAATATGGAAGTTAAACTTTGTCTCTCAGAATAATTTATCCCTCATTATTGGATATTTAAATAATTTTATGAACCTGTCTTTCAAAATCTGAGTCGTTGTTATGTAATTTTCATTTCTGCCGTGAACATTGCCATCTGAAACAGCAACATTATTTTATTGTCAAATATCGCCGATCTGCCGATCGCCAAATAAGTAAAACCTTCAATTATACAGGAAAAATATTCTCTTAATACATTATCCGTTTCAATTTATATACCGATATCCATTTTTTACACTTTCAATTTAATATTTCTTTTATTTATTTGTTTATTTTTGTTAAACTGTGTATGTTGTGCAGTGGGGCGAAGAGGTATCTCTGCACAGTTTCTTTAACTCTAGAATTTTTGCTGTAACTCATAAGCATATTAAATTGAAATGGAAGTAGAAATGAGCGTTTTTGGCAAGAATTGATAAGACAATATTTACTCCCATGTGATAAAAACGATTTCCCAAGACAAATATGCTACAGATTTTTTCTATTATCCCTTAATATATTCCTTCGTGACGGAATAAACTTGGTGCCGCGAAAATGCAGAGAACAATTATTCAAATAACTATATTCTCAACTGAGCTAAGAAAACACTTATATTGATATCCAGAAACAAAACAAGGTGTCACCTCAGATTTGCTTAATGAATCATGGAAACTGGATGAAGATCCTGGAGATTGACCCAGAAACTGAGGTACAATACTTGTAAAAGGCACATTTAGTCATTTAGAATTACATTATTTGAATGGTTATCGTACATAAAATAGAGTTGTTAAAATCAATATTGTCTCAATACGTATATCCATCCCAGAGAAAAATATTTAGAGATTACAAATTGTAAAACATTCTTGGGAAATATTAAAAACAAAACAAAAACAACATATCTTCTTGTGACTCTTAGGACTGCGAAGTACCATATGTTCTTTCAAAACATCAACGAGAAAACAGAAACTTTCTTATGATTTAGATATAAATTTGACTTAATTTGTAAACTTCACCGGACAACAGACGTCTTACTCACGTTACTCAAGGGTCTCAATAATTTTTACGATACATAATTCATTATAGCAACTATAAAAGAACAGATAGTTATCATTGACCCAAAAGGGTGAATTGGTCCACAATTACTTATGGGTGATGTGGCCTTGTGCTCGAGTGAATGACCAAGTACCTACCAATTTCGGTCTTCTCAACTATTAAGGTCTTTAGTCCGAAAAGTCTAGTGCAAGATATATAATAGAAACGTAGGAATTCGAAATGCCTTCTCGAGGTAAGTTTTCCCGGCGACACCTTGCTCTACAGGCAAGGTCTAAGATTGACAAGGTCTAAGATTCCGATATGTTCCGATGCGTAGTGCATGGGAGTGAAAATGTGCAAGAAAAGAGGAAGCGACTAGGTAAGATCACGTGCGGTCTATAATCCGTTTGCTAGTTACTACTCATGTTTTCGCCTGGAATTGGTCGAATTGATTGATTCCGAACACGTCAACAAGTGCCGTTTTGTGCGTGGAGGTGGCGGTGTTCCTCCGAAATTGAATGCGAGATC